GCAATAAACAATGAATAAGTAGAAAATTGGAATTTCCAAGTTCCCAGTGACTCTAGAACATCCCTTGGATTTCCTATTTAGAAAGTTGGAGAAGCACCAGCAACGCAAGTTAATGATCTAAGTGTCACGGGACCGAGTGGTCTGTACTGAACAGGACTCGGATGCAGAAACCCAGAGCAGAGCCAGCAGATGATGTAACAAATATTTATTAGGCTTAAGTGCAAGAAACGTAGCAAGGACAAAAAAACAAAATAAACAATAAGACGTGGCGTGGCCTGAGACACGTGGCTAGGGCGAGGGAACGGGGCCTGAGATGCAGAGTGGAGCTGAGCAGGGAACAGTCACATTGCAGTTGGGGACATAGAGTGTTGAGAGGGGGGTGAGGCACAGAGTGATTTTCAAAATGGTTGTTTGGTATCCTGAGTCCAGAGGTAGAGAGTGAGCCAAAGTGAATCCAGCAACTGCAGCACAAGAAAGTCTTGTTAGTAAGATCAATCACAGCAAGAACTTGAAGCATAAGGCCTGTTACCAACATGGGTTGATGACAAACTGGCAGTGAATGAACATCAACGTGTGGCTTAAATCCCTCTGGCTTGATTGCCTGCAATAGGCTCCAGGTGTGCAGGAGCTGGAGGAGTTGGCCCTGCCCAGGGGCGGATTCCAGGTAAGTTCAGGAGCCTTATGGAAATTCCAGCCACTCACCGCAGAACATGACACTAAGATTGTGACAATGAAGGTAAACATTACTACAACTGTAAAACTGCACTGACCAGTCTGTATCCAAAAATATACGGTGTTTCATGCTGTATTGCTAGTTGTACCTGTGTGATTTTATCTTCCTAAGAACCATGTCACGTGACGTCACTCTCATTTCCAATAACCAAGTTGTAATACCTGGAAGCAAGACAGAGACGTCATGTCTTTTTATAAAACGCAAAGAAAAAAAATGCAAAATATAAATAAGGTTTAAAAAATGGGTTTAGAAAAATATAAAAGTGTTTTAAGACAAAGCCACACACACACACGCACACACAGATTTTTTTCACACATAAAATCGGTGGGTTCAGTGATAAGCAGCATTAATGTCCTTCTAGTTCCACATAAGACCTAATGTGACAAAAATATGTTTTGAATTGAGTATGAACATGATATTTAATGAATGAATCATCTGTGGTTAGACTGAAGTATTAATTTCAGCAGTTGAGCCTCACTTCACAATGTTTCCCTTCTAGAAAAGGGTTTTCATTAGCTTTCACCACTCATTTCACTCTCTGCAATGCACTCACTCTATGCATTGTTCTTTTAAGTCTCTCAGTGGGGCTTCTTGATATGATCAGCTAACTAAACTACTGCGCAAAAGCCAGGGAAAATGAGCTTTTTATTAAAAAAGAAATCCAAAAGCAGGCACAAACCAGGGGAGACAGGTTGTGAATAAAGGTGAATTTAATGAAATGGGGAAGGTGGTGATTGGTTGGGTGAAGATTCCGGCTGGAAAGCTGGAAGAACGGGTCTGGTGAGTATTGCAGAATTCCTCTGGACGGGGCGTGAGGAGTGCAGAGCAGGAGCTGCAGCTACAGCTGCAAGAGGCAGCGCTGAACAAATTCAGGATAAGAAAGCAAATTACTAACAGTAAGACTTTTAGTAATTTGTGATAAGGGCAAAATTGACTGGCCTCAAGTAGTGGAGGCCACAATCAACCATGGTAGTACAGGTAGAGCTGGGTGTTTTTAGATGCTTGATAGCTGAGATAAGGGGCACTGACATGAGAAACACTTTAGCATACAGAGAATTCTTCAAATAATGTCCGTCTGAGGCAACTCTGCTCTAAGCACACTGACTCCAAACTGATGGAGAAAGAGAGGTTTAAACTGTCACAGCAGTTAAGTGTCTGATTTTAACCTCTTGGAAAAGTAAGAGTTTGAAATATGGAGCCACACCCCCCTCTGATGTTATTCAGTAGCTGGAGCTCAAGTTAAAACACACAGTAAGTATAACTGCAAGTCAGCTACTTATCCGAGCCACATTATGTAAGGCTCTTTCTGATGAATGATTTAAAGCTCGCACACAAACTCTTCCAGTCTGGTGTTTTTGTTGGTTTGTTGGTTGAAAAAAACAAAACATTTTTTGAGCATCAGACGGTACAATTACATCAAATAAAAATATTAAGCCATTGGGCTTTTAACTATCATCATTTGCCATTTCCCATTATTGCCTATGGTTGATCATGTGATGAAACACTGTAAACACTGTGGTTCATCATCCATCCCCACGAGTAGACTGTACTGTTTCTGAATATTTTGCTGACTCTTTTTTATCTCTACCCATCTGAACAGGAGTTTTTTTTTGTTTGTTCATTAGTTTGCTTCCCTTGTTGTAGTGATTTGGTGAGGATCTGAGTGCCTTTTCAATATCACTGCTTTTCACTGTAATTCCAGCTCCTTAGATTGAGGCTGCGCTGAACAGTAATTACAGTCTACTGCTGCTTTTGTGCTATAAGACTGAACTCTCTAGTCAGATACAAAACCTGGTGATATTAACAATTAATAAGAACTTGCTGTTCTTGTCCATGGAAGTTGTTTTCCTTTTAAATCATGTTTTCTTGTTGTTGTTGAGGTGAGGACACAAACCTTTTTGATTTAGAAACAGGTAGGTATCATTCCTAAGAGCTTTGCTCAAAGGCATTTCATCTGTGGCTGCAGACAGAGAAGAGTATGTGTATTATTGAGCCATCCAGATTTTCTCAGCATGTCACACCTGCTGCCACATAGCTCTGCAGTGGATCAGGTGTAGCGAGGTTTTATTTACCAGCTGTGACAGTGTATTGTTTTCAGCTTGTGTGTGTGTGTTTATAAGTGTGTTTTTGTGTGTCATCGGGACAAAATATGACACTTATGACATCTCCTATTGTGGGAACTACAACAAGTGAGGTTTAAAGTTTGGCAGATGTCGCTCTGATTTGATGTGGTGTGTAAACATGATACAAGTCCTTCTGGAAGACAGTTTTACAACATGGCTAAATTCGAGTCAGTCAGCCAGTTTTTTTGATACTGATGGAGGGTAAGAGCCAGTACTTTAGGTTGTGTGTATA